CTGGTTCCTTTCAGGACCTCAGCTGGCTCCTTGCAGGACCTTGGATGGTGCCTTTCAGGACCTCAGCTAGCTCCTTCAAGAACATCGGCTAGTTCCTTTCAAGACCTCGGCTATCTCCTTTCAGGTCCACAGCTGTCTCCTTTCAGGACCTCTGCTGGTTCCTTTCAGGATGCCTGCTAGCTCCTTTCAGGACCCCGGCTAGCTCTTTTAAAGTTTCATCAGATGCATCTGAGAAAGTAGACTCAAGTCTATGAAAGCTCATGCTACCAATTTCTCTCTTTCAGTTTGTATCAAAAATGCTGCAAGATCCCTTTGCAGGCTGATTTTCCAGACTAACATGGTTAGGTCTTTGAATTCTACACACACACACACACACACACACATAATCTATCAATAGCATTAAGAAGCAAATGACCAATAACAGTCCAGCAGATATTTTTATAATTATATGTATAATTCTATCTAGCAGAAAATGCTTTTTTGAGACACAGCAAATTCTATCTAGGGAGAATTTGGGACCTGATGAGACCGAGAGAGGATTTGAGAATCATGCCTAAGTATTGAAAAGGTAGCTTCTATCGAGATAAAGGTAGTCCATAAAGGCAGTCCATCCTTTCATGAACTGTGATGAAATACAAAACCTGCAGGTCTTCTGTTGAAACAAGGATGCTTTCAATAGTCGAAGTCCAACATAGCAGTGAGATGGTCTATGGTTATTGCAGGATGAGATGTCATTTTGGAAGTGATGGCTATATTCCAGCATCTTGGGGGCTGTATCCCCTTGAAGCATGGAAGATTTGTTTTGCCATTTCCATGTGTCAGTGGAATAATTCCTTGCATGCAAGCTACTCTATCTCTACCGCAAAGCCCAGTTCCTGTGTATCATTTGAGGGTGACTTTACATCTCATTATAATGTGGTGCAGGTGCGCTCATGATGATTAAAACCCAGAAACTGGCACTGAGCCCGGCCTCGAATCTAAGTGGCACTCGCTTAATAGGGTACCACCATCTCAGAGAAGGTAATAGCATCAATGCCCAAAACATCTCCCTCCCTGAAGCAAATAAATAAATAAATAAGCAAGCAAGCACGCTGGTGGAAAAGAAAGGTTTCTCCAAAGTCCATCAGAGCCATTCAGTGCTGACTTGTGCAGATATGAGTTTCACTTTCTGGCTGGCTTCTGGGGCTGCATCTGAACTGCAGAATTAATGCAGTTTGATACTGCTTTAAGGGCCATGAGTCAATGCTCTAGAATCCTGGGATTTGTAGGGTTTTTGTTTTGTTTTTGGAGATATTTCACTTTCTCTGCCAGAGAGCTTTGATGCCCCAACAAACAACAAGTCCCAGGATTCCATAGGATGGAGCCGTGGCAGTTAAAGCAGTATCAAACTAGATTAATTTTGTAATGCAGATGCAACCTGGGTGAGCTGTGGAGTCAGAAAAGTAGCATCCCCACACTCCTTACTTGCCCACCCTGAGCTAAACCTTTTCCACATTGTTGCCCCTGCTCCCAGATTCTCATGCTGAAATTCATATATATTTGTTGAATTTACTGGAAGCAAACACCCCAACTTACAGCAACAATAGATCTGGTATACAGTAAACACTGTTGTTGTTGTTGTTGTTGCTGTATGCCTTCAAGTCATTTCAGACTTATGGAGAGCCTAAGGTGAACTATCCTGGGGTTTTCTTGGCAAGATTTGTTCAGAGGAGGTTTGCCATTGCCTTCCCCTGAGGCTGAGAGCATGTGACTCGGTTTTTCTAAAGATCCTGAGTCCTGTAGTCTGATACCCAGGAGCTCCAACATCCTATCTGGTTCTTCTTTGAGCCTGGAGAGGACCAATATGGTATGAGATTTGTTTGGGGGGTTTCTTCTTGTTGCGGCTGTGCGCCTTCAAGTCATTTCCAACTTATGGAGACCCTCAGGCAAACCTATCATGGGGTTTTCTTGTTCAGAGGTGGTTTGTCATTGCCTTCCCCTGAGGCTGAGAGCATGTGACTTGGTTTTCTAAAGATCCTGAGTCCTGTGCCCTGATATCCAGGAGCTGCAGCATCTTAGCTGACTCTTGTTTGAGTCTGGAGAGGACCAATCTGGTATGAGATTTGTTTTGGGGTTTTGTTGTTGTCGTGTGCCTTCAAGTCATTTCCAATTTATGGCAATCCTATCAAGGGGTTTTCTTGACAAGATACCTTCCCCTGAATCTGAGAGAGTATGACTTGCCCAAGGCCACCCAATGGGTTTCATGGCCGAGCAGGAATCGAACCCTGGTCTTGAGAGTTGCAGTCTAACACTCAAGCCACTACGCCTTGCTGGCTCTCTTAGTAAACACTCCTAGTAAACTCTCTTAGTAAACACTATGCAGCCATTAAAAATTGCTTGTTTAACTTTCTTTACAGCTGATTCTTGACCCCTTGCATTATTTGGTGCCCTTTTTCAATTATTTCAGGCAACCATCGCCAACGTGCCAGCAGCTGGCTATAGGGAAAAGAATTAAATTGCAGACTTCTTCGAAGCATCCCTTGAACTCTGTGCCCTCCGCAGTTAGACAAAATATTTTGAGGTGCCTATTATTCCATTTCACAGCTCTCTGGACTTTGTCCAAAGAAGGATGCTTGTTAGCCAACAATCTCCCCATTGCAACAAATCCATAACTCTTTGTGGTGATCATTGGGTCATCAAGAATCAGAAGCAAATCTCCCAAATCGGTGGAAGAAAGAGACGGTTCACTTTCTCTATTCTGCTTTCCGCCTTTCGTTGTGCTTTGCTGATTCTTCGCTTTCTCCTTTCTGCATAATTGACAGTAGCAAACATGTCATAGCCATCTTAGCAATAGGAATTAATGAGGATGGAAACTTTCAAAAAATAAAATACATATATGCACACACAGAGGCACATTTTCAAGGACTTATTATTAAATTCTCCAGCAAAAAAAGCAACAGCCGAGTTGAGCTGAATTTTCCTATTAACACAATTGAGAATGTAATGAGCTTCTTAATTTATGACTTCAGTAAGTTTCTCTGATTTGAATTATAAAACTATCATACCAGCTCCGTTCTAATTGCCCAAGTGTGTCTGAAGATGACAGTTTGTTTAGCTTTCATTCCAGCATCTAATCTAAATAAATTAGCAAACGGCAGACAAGTCTCTGCCGCAAGTCATTGTGAGCTACGCGAATAAATGGATTTTTGAAAAGGAATTGAATCCAGGCGATTAAAATAAGAATAGGAAACTTGCCCGTGTCTCAGACCTTAGGACTTGCCTGCGCTCAAGGGAGGAGAGCTTTATCCCTGTTATTAGCCACAACTGTAGACCTGAGTAAATGCAATTGAATTTGCAAATGCGCTCACTCATCTGAAATGGAAAAGACATTCCTCATTTTAAGAATAAAAGGAGAGCCCTGCCAAAGACCCATCTACTTACTTTCTTCTTGCAATGTCCAACCAAATGCACTAGATCTTCCTGGCTGGATGTTTCTGGCACCAGCTGTTTAACGGTCCGTACTGCCACTGTGCAAGATAGTGTGATGTAGTGGTTTGAGCATAGGACTACAACTCTGGAGACCTGGGTTCGAGTCCCCACTCAGCCATGGAAACCCACTGGGTAACATTCATGGTGTAGTGGTTGGAGCATTGGACTATAACTCTGGAGACCATCAACCATCCAAGCTGAACCTGTCACCATCCTCACCATCCCCACAAGTTTTGCACATCTATGGCTATTCATACAGTCTGATTATAAAGGTCCTTTGCTCCATGGTTCAGAGGGAGTAGACTAAGTCTTTGAAAGCTTCTGCTACCACTTCTTTCACAACAACAAAGACAATGGCTTCCTGGCACACTACTTATATCATAATGATGGATGCTCTTGGCCAGTTTATCATATCTCCTTTCTGGTTCCCAGCCGGCACACACCATGTTACAAAATTCTCACCATCATTCATAGGGTCATTCGCCATCCACCCTAGCCTTAAGCAACATCTTTCCTCCTGCCTTTGTCCCCCAACAACCGTCCAAATGGAACTGGTCACCTCCTCCCCATACCCCAAATTTTGCATTTCTATGGCTATTCATACAGTCTGATGATAAGGGTCCTTCCTGGGCAACACTTCACTCCATGCATCTGAGGAAGCAGATCAAGTCTACAAAAGCTGATGCTACACCTCTTTCTGATTTGCAGAAATAGTGCAAATTGAGTCCACTTTAACTGCCCTGGCTCAG